TATTTCTTTGGTGAAAATTTGGCTTAAAAATTGGGATCTTTGCTTTGTAAATATTTTCTCTTCATTTGTAACTTACATTTTAATTCTTCTATCTTTTGAAGAGCTGATGTTCTTAATTTCATGTGCAATTAATCTAATTTTTTCTTTTATAGATCACATTTTTGGTGTCATATCAAGGAAATCTTTGCCTAACCAAAGATTATGAAGACATACACCTATGTTTTCCTATAGAAGTTTATATGTTAATGTTTTACATTTAGGTCTATAATCCATTTTGAGTTAATTTTTGTTATAAGAATCAAGGTTCACAGATGAAATGTACACTTGACCCTTGAACCACTCAAAGATAGGGGCACCAAACCCCTGCTCAGTCAAAAATCCATGTATAATGTTTGATTATCAAAAAATTACCTACTCATAGCTTACTATTGACAGGAAGCCTCACCAATAATGTAAACAGTCTATTAAATGACATTTTGGATTTTGTATGTGTTATACACGGTACTTTTAAAATAAAGAGGCAAAAGAAAACATTGTCAAGAAAATTGTAAGGAGAGAATATGTTCACTATTCACTAAGTGGAACTGGATCATCATGAAGGTCTTCACCTCGTCATCTTGACATGAGTGGGAGGAGGAGGAAGAGGAGGGCTGGTCTGGCTGTCTCTGGGGTGGCAGAGGGGGAGGAAAATCCACCCTTATCCACTTGTGCATCTGTGTGGCTCAGACCTGTGTTGTTCAAGGGCCAACTGTGTACAGACGTGTGTGTGTGTGGGTGTGTGTGTATTTATACTAACTGTTCTCCAAGCACAGATCTATAGTTTGAGTCTTTCACTGGTTTTGGAAATTTCTAGGCCATTGTCTCTTCAAATACTTCTCCTTCCCTGTCATCTCTTGCCTCTCCCCTTCTGGAGATGTTTGTTAAATCACTCAATATTGTCCCCCAGCTCGTGGCTGCTCTTTTTTCTCTCCTTTTTGCCTCTGCGTTTTAGCCTAGGAGGGTCCAGTGACTGGCCTTCAGGCTCACCGGCTTTCTCTCTGCTTTGTTAAGGAGACCACCTTCTCTGTTACCAGGTTCTTCATTTACCGCCTCTGAATCCTTTTCCTAGTTTTCATTTCTCTGCTGAGGTTCCCAAGCTGATCAGTCATGTTGTTCACCTCTCCACTGAAGCTGTTAGCCTATTAGTCATAGTTATTTTCAATAAGCTGTCTGATAGTTCCACGTTTATCTTATACATGAGTCTGGTGTCTGCTAAATGCTTTGTCTCTAAACAGTATGTTGTTGTTGAGACACAGTCTTGTTCCTTTGCCCTGGTTCAGTGCAGTGGCACAATCATGGCTCATAGCAACCTCAAACTCCTGAGTTCAAGTGATCCTCCTGTCTCAGCCTCCTACATATCTGGGACTACAGACTTGTACCACTAATACACAGCCTATTTTTTTTATTTTTAGTGTAGATGGGAGTCTCACTTTTATAGGTCTTGGACTCCTGACCTCAAGCCGTCCTCCCACCTTGGCCTCTCAGAGTGTGAGGATTACAGTTGTGAGCCACCGTGCCCTGCCTGTTGTTTTTATTTACTTATAAGTTTTGGACCGAAACTGGACATCTTGTACAGGGCAGCAGAACAGATAACTGGTCTGTGTTCCCAGAAAGGAGCCAGCCTGTTTGCTTGGCCCCTGGTGAAGTGTCATTCCAATCAGGTTGAGCTGGTTTAGGTCTCATGCTCACCCAGGCTCCTCTTGATGTGGCCCAGGCCGAAGTCCCTCAAGTGTGCTCTGTACTTAGGGTGAGCCTGGCTCACCAGAGGCTTCCCTCAATGCCTGCTCTGCCTTCTACTTCAGACTCTCCTTTGCTCTTAAGAAGATCCCTCTCACTGCATGGGGCTGTTCTAGGCAATAGGGTGCTGTGACTCATTATGGGACATGCCCTGGTGCTGTGGGGGGGTGCAGGTGGGCTGGAGGGCTGGGGTGTTCTCTGTGGTTCTGGTTCAGCCAAGCTCTTAAGTCACAGGGTCTCTGTGGGGTTGGGGCTCTCAGGGGATCTCCCCAAGTTAGGAAGCTGTCCCTATCCTCTCCTCCAGATGTAGTCAGCCTTTCTTGGCATCCTGAGGACAACTGCTGCAATTCCCTTCCCATGTCTGCCCACGAGGGAAGCTTCTAGGTCTCTCACCTGGCATGTTATTACTCCTGAGCAACAGTGAGGTCCCTGGAGAGCAGCCTGTAAAGTAAAGTACCCTGCACCCACCCCACCCCCCAGGACTCTAACCTCTCTTGCCGGCCCACACCTGCCTCCAGCAATTCACCGACAATCCTCACCAGCCTGCTCCTGCAGGGGCTCAGTGCCCGTTTCTTGTCCTTCCTGGGATTGAGTTTGTTGATTTGCAACCTCAGTTCTTTCCCTCAGATTCTAGAGAAGCTGAGATTGTGTAGACCAGCAGTGTGCGCTGCTCTGAGGGTGGGGCAGGGATGCTCTTTCATCATCTACATCCCTAGCGGAAGCCAGAGTCCTCAGCAGATTTTGATGTCCACTAATCTTGCTTAATTTCTTCTTGTTTTTGTTTTAAGTGAACATCATTTAATTACCTCCTCAAACATTCTCAGCACTCTTATTTTTTATAGTGGTAAAGCATACATAATATTTATCATTTTCACCATCTATAAGTGTACAATTCGGTAGCATTAGATACATTCGTAATGATATGTACACATCACCATTGTCAACACCCAAAACTTTCATCCTCACCAACATAAGCTCTGTACCCGCTAAGTAATAATGCTGCCAGCCCTGGGTAACCTCTCTCCTACTGTGTCTCTGTGAACTTGGCAACTCTAGGGAGCAGGCAGAATATAGAATTTGTCCTTTCATGCCAGGCTCATTTCGCTCACTGTGATGTTTTGAAGTCCATCCATGATGTAGCATGTACTGAAATTTCACTCCTTTGTATGGTATAACTGAAGGGAAAAACACCAGGGATAATCTTCCCCCCCAGAATGGAACAATATCTGCAAGTCAAGCATCTGACATGGAACCAACACCTTATTTTACTGCTCTACAACATTCCTTTTATCCAGAGTGAATTCCTCACCCAGTTATTGATTTGGGAGGCCATCTTTCTTAGCCTTAAATTTCACATGTGTTTGGTAATATTGATCCAGGGGCTCATTTCGGAGAAGACTCACTGGTTCTTCTCTTGTTTTCTCCTCTGCACTGGTCCCCTCACTCTCTGTGGTGGCTGCATTTCCTCAAGGTGGCTGTACAGTGCTGCCCATCCCACCTGCTCTCCCCAGTGTAGCCCTGCCCTCCTCTGTCCTCCTGTGGGGCATGGCCTGTGCCTCTGCAGGAGAAGGCTGCAAGCCCGTCATGTAGCCTTCTGAGGTTGACATTTTCCACATGTTTGGAGATTCACCCAGTTCACTGCATGTACCAGTAGCTTGTTCCCTTGACTGCTGAGTAGTGTTCCATGGTGTGGATGTGCCACAATGGACTTAACCAGTCACCTGTTGAAGGACATCCAGGTTGTTTTTAGTTGGCAGATGTTATAAATAAAGCTGCCATAAAGGTTAATATACAGGTTTTTGTGTAAATGTAACCTGGGATGCTCTCCGAGATAAATGCCCAAGAGGGTAATTTCTGGGCTTTATTGTAGTTGCATGTTTAGTTTTTTATGAAACTGCAAAACTGTTCTCAAGAGGGGCTATACCATTTTACATTTCTGCATTCCAGCATTGTAAATTTTGATGTCAGGATTGAGAGAACAATGAGTGGCCACTGAATATGTCTGAGCCTCAGAGCACTCAGGGACCCAAACAGACACCAGACAGCTATGATGCCCACAGCTGAGGGGCAATTACACAACACCACCACCACCCCCAACCCCCACCCCCGGCAGCCAGGCCTGCAGGCCCCTCTTTATGAGGGCAGGGGAGCACCAGGCACTCCTGGGTCCACAGGCTGCTCTGAGCACAGGTCATTTCGAGTTCAAAGTGCTGCTTTGAAGGGGGATTTGGAAGAAAACTGTCTACCAGGCTTTCCAGCCTCAGACAGACTCATAGGCATGTGTTTGGCAGAATTCTGCAGATTATTCATGGAAATGCCATTTGGTGCCTTAAGATCCCACCTTTCTACTTTGTCCTGGAATTTCCTAACCTGGTGGCTTCTCTTCTCCCCTGCATATACCTGCCCCTTCCTGGAATCAGAGCTTTTGAGCCAGTGGCTCTGCTGTTGGGGAGCCCACTCTGTAAGAATGCAGGACCTTTCCCCAGAGCCAGACCTCCTGGACGAGGCGCACTTCTGGGCAGGAAGGGAGCATGGGACATGGGGTGCTGGAGGAAATATTGGACCTAGGTCTCTCTGCCAGTGGCTCTGACCGGTGACCTGGGCCCCATAGAATCTGCCTAGACTCCATCGCTCTGGGGTGCGAAAAGGCAAGCCAGTGGGCTCTCTGTGGCCTCTGCTGAGCACCCCGGGGATTCGGGCGCCAAAGAACAACCTGTGTCTCAGGAGGGGCGCGTAGGACGAGGGAGCTTTGAGGAAACTTCCACCAGCACAGGGACTGTGAGAAGCTCCAACTCTGGCTCTGGGGAGCAAGACTGGGGCGAGCCCTGCCCTGAACTCACGGGCGAGCGCAGGGGGCGAGATGAGGGCACTGGGAAGGCAGCAGCAGGCGGCCCCGCCGGTCGGACCACCCAGCACGCTGCTTCCTCCTCCCTCTTCCCGCAGCGGGTCAGAGGGTCGCCGAGAGAGCCCCCTCCACTCCCCTCTCCGCAGTTTTACCGGTGGCTGGGGCCTCCCCCGTGCGAGGATTGGACGCCAGAGAACAGGGCGGGGGCCGGCGGGGGACCCCCGAAGCTCAGGTTCCCCAGACGGGCGGAGAGCTGCCCGCAGTGCAGACGCTTCTAGCCCAGGCTGGGAGGACCGCCGCGCAGAGCTGGACGGCCGGCGGGCGGCGCGGAGGAGGCGGCAGCTGCACTGGTGGCACCGCGAGTGCCCGGAGCATCGCGATGTTTGATAGCTCGCAGTATCCCTACAATTGCTTCAATTACGACGCTGACGACTACCCTGCCGCCAGCTCTGATGAGGAGAAGCGGCTCACGCGGCCCGCGTACAGGTGACCGCGGGAGTTAGTGGCGGGGACTTTAGGGGACAAAGACAGCCTCTGCTGGACACTCAGGTAGCGAGGACCTGCCTGGCACGAGGAAGGGGAGAGGGCTTTCTTATCCCGGGAGGGGCTCAGAGAAAGGACACATTCCTGGGCACTTTGTGGGGTAGCGGAGGAAAGTTTCTCTCCACCTCCCTGGAGAGGGGCCTTCAGGTGCGGAGGAGAGCTTTTGGGGGCCCGGTGGGAGCGGGGAGCAACGAGCCCCAGGGTCGCCGACACCCTGGCTTGGGCGCCCGGTTTGCAGCTACATCGCCTTGATCGCCATGGCCATTCAGCAGAGCCCGGCCGGCAGGGTGACCCTGTCCGGCATCTACGACTTCATCATGCGCAAGTTCCCCTACTACCGCGCCAACCAGCGCGCCTGGCAGAACTCCATCCGCCACAACCTGTCGCTCAACAGCTGCTTCGTCAAGGTGAGCTTCCCCACTCCTCCACCCCACCACCACCCCACCAGCGGCTCCAGCTCGGTGACACCTGGGCCGAGTCCTTCTGGGGCCGGGAGGGATGTCGCAGCGGCGGCTGAAGTCCGCCCTCAGCCAGCGGGGCCACCTGCTCGGTGAGCGGCGCGGACCTGTCGCGGCGGAGCTCAAGGGCACCGCAGCGCTGAGCCACCCTCGCCCCACAGGTGCCACGGACCGAGGGCCACGAGAAGGGCAAAGGCAACTACTGGACGTTCGCGGGCGGCTGTGAGTCGCTACTAGACCTCTTCGAGAACGGCAACTACCGGCGACGGCGGCGGCGGCGTGGCCCCAAACGCGAGGCGCCCAGGGAGTTGCACGCGCGGGACACTGAGGGGCCCCTGGGTGTGCCCAACCAGATCGCTGCGCCGAGGTCCCCGGCTCCAGACGGCGCGGGCGCAGCCTCGGCGGCCAGCCCGCCTGCCCCGGGGAAGGCGCACCCGGGCGGCATCAAGTTCAGCATTGACTACATCCTCTCTGCTCCAGACCCCTCTCCCGGGCTCAAGCTGCCCAGGCTCCTGGCGCCTGAGGGCCGACACCCGATACTGGAGGCCCAGCACAGGAACCTCCACTTGTGGATGCTGTGAGCTGGAGCCACAGTCAGTTAAGGGTCTTCCCATACCACC